ATTATAAAATGTATTTGGAAATTTGTATCGATTCTTGCCTATAGAATTTGTCGACATTCCTCATTACACCCATAGAAGAAAATTTTTAAAGCAGGATTTCTCCATCCAAGAAACTCGTCGTACTGAGTTGACAAAACTCCCTCCAGAAGGGTTGTATCAGTTTACACTCCTACCTGTCACTGACCTCTTAAAAACAAACCAAAATAGCCACAAGATTTGCTAATTTTACAAATAAAATTTTACCTTATTTTATTATCTTCATATGTATTTCTTGGATTATTACTGACAGTGAATATTATCCATGTTATGTTACCCAAATGCTCAAACCAACCCTCCATAGGTACTGTCAACCTCATTTTAGAAATGTGTAGACTGAGGCTCAGGGACTTTAAGAATTCTCAAGATCACACAGCTTGCAAGTGTTTGAAAGCATATGTGAACATAGATGTTACTTTGCCAAAAAGTAATTTAAGAACATGTGACTTATCTGCTCATCTTTTTTTAATGGAAGATCAAATTATTCATTCTTTCTGGACCTTAGATGTAAATAATTATGTCAAGCATTTTCTACTTCTTGAGACAAATGTATTTTAAGAACCCTTTATTCCCTTTGTGCAAAGTCTAGACTGGAAAGGATGTCCTTGGTACACAGGATTATTGCACAGGGCTGCAAGAACAGGGGATTTCAATTGATTCATGAGAACTTAGCTTTCTCTGGGATCTGGATATCACTTTTAATTGTCCCATTGCTTAACTGTATATATATATATATATATATATATTTCCATTGCAAAAATACATATGACTATAAATTTTTGTTTTTTAATAAACCACGTGGCAAAACAATAATTATTTTAAAAATGTATAAAAATTACAATTTGAAAATTGCCAGTACAGTAGATATATATATATACACTATATTTTGATCTTAAATTAGATGAACAAACCCCATCTTCAGAATCTTTCTGAACTCAACCATATGCAAAATACCTGGTTTATGACAGCGCTTGTGGAAAAACATATACAATTTATTAAATTGTGATATGGTTTCCTTAATAATATACACTTATTTAGAGAAGCATAAGCTTTCCAAACATACAGTATCTTCCAGGTGTCTTTATGCTAGCAATTCTAAAAACCAAGCAATACCATTCTAGTGCTTTAATAATACCATTCTAGTAAATGGTATGTCGTAAAACCATTCTAAATTCTTTAAGACTTTTTGTGCAAACTGTTAAATACCCTTCATCCCAAATTGGTAGCATAGTCTTTAGTGTATATCTGGAAGCTTCCAAGAAAGAATAGTGTTTAGTGGGAGTAACACAAATTGAACTGCCCTTTAGTATGGCTGGACCTGAAGAATTCCCTTATACCATCACTGCATGGAAGTTCAAAGTCCAGGTTCTTAGTGTTGACACATGCTGCAAGGTGGATGAATCTCAAAAACATGCTAAGTGAAAGAAACCAGACACAAAAGGTCACATATTGAAAGATTCCATATGTATAGAATAGATATATCCAGAATAGATCAATCCAGAGACAGAAAGTAGGTTAGTGGTTGCCAGGGGTTTAGAGGAGGGCAGAGTTGAGGGAAACTGCTTCGGGCCCAGAGGGTTTAACTTCGGAGTGATGGAAACGTCTTGCAACTTCTAAATAGAGGTGGTCATTGCACAACATTGCGAATGTACTAAATGCCACTGAACTGTTCACTTAAAAAAAGTTTTTAAGTTTATTTATTCATTTCAAGAGAGACAGAAAGAGTGGCAGAGGAGGGGCAGAGAGAGAGGAAGAGAAAGAGAATCCCAAGCAGGCTGCACACTGTCAGCTCAGAGCCCACTGCAGGGCTTGAACTCACAAAACTTGAGATCATGACCTGAACTGAAACCGAGAATCAGATGCTAAACCAACTGAGCCACCCAGGCACCCCTGAACTGTTCATTTTTATGTTTATTTTACTATTTTTTTAAATGTTTATTTATTTTGAGAGAGAGAGAGAGAGAGCACAAGCAGGGGAGGGACAGAGGGAGAGAGGGAGACACAGAATCTGAAGCAGACTCTAGGCTCCAAGCTGTGAGCTCAGACCCCGACGTGGGGCTGGAACCCACGAATCGTGAGATCATGACCTGAGCTAAAGTCAGATGCTTAACCAGCTGAGCCACCCAGGCGCCCCTGAACTGTTCACTTTTAAATGGTTCATTTTATGTTATGTGGATTTCCCCTGACAAATTATTATTTTGTTTAAAAACCCAAGTTCCTGAACCTAACAGACCCAAACTTGGGAAGTGACTCTTCCTACCTGGGTGATGTTGGACAGATTATTCTCATTCCCTAACCTGAACCCTAAGCCTGTACCTAAAGTCTCCTTTAACTTCAGTGTCCGCCCGGATTGTTGCGAAGGCTCTCTAACAGGACTGCATGGTGGCTGAGGTATCTATCCCAGGTTCTTATGAAATATTTGCAGCTGTCGTGCTACAACCACCAGCAGCAATCCCAGCAGCGAGTTCCAGCCCAGATTCTCAGTGTAGTCAAGTGACTATTTTCCAGCTGGTAGTCACGCTCCAGGAATTCTGTTAGGAAGGAGTCACATGACATTGACCTCAGCCTATACTCTCAGTGGCATCCTTCTTTCGAAAGACAAATTTTCGATTAAAACTGTTGTTAATTAATGTCAAAATGGAACGGACTCAGAGTGGTGAGTAAGGATCACATCCCTGAAACATCAAATTATCAGCCTTCTCGTGAGAGTAGTGGACCCTGCTTCCCAACGTGTGCTCCTTAACTGAAGAAGGGACCAACCAGTGAAAAAAAAAAGTCTTCCCTGGGGCATTTTAAAAGGAAGCGTGAGCTTCCACGTGGAACCTAAAAACATAACAAATAAATAAACAAAAAGCAGAGACAGACCCTTAAAGCCAGAAAACAAACTGGTGGTTGCCAGAGGGAAGGGGGAGTGATGGGCAAAATGGGTGAAAATTGGGAGGTACGGGCCTCCAGTTATGGAATGAATGAGGCAGGAATGAAAGGCACAGCAGGGAGAACACTGTCAGGGGGTGGCTACACGTGTGGCAGGCCCAGCATGATGGGCGGACTTGTTGACTCCCTGTGTCATACGCGTGAAACCGATGTAACGTCGTGTGTCCACTACACGTCAGAAAAAAAAAAAAAGTAAATACAATTTAGAACAATAAAAAGAAGTATGGGGAGAAGAAATGAATTTCACTGAGCTTCAGAGAAACAAAACTCTGGCCAGCAGCTGAAAGTTGCCATTTGTCCTCAGTGGATGGTGTGTGTTGACACAAAAGCGTGGCTTGGGGTGTCAGGGTGGCTCAGCTGGTTGAGCATCTGACCTCGGCTCAGGTCATGATCTCACGGTTCGAGAGTTCAAGCCCCACATTGGGCTCGCTGCTGTCAGCGCAGAGCCCACTTCAAATCCTCTGTTCCCGCCCCCCCCCCGCCCCTCCCTTGCTTGTGCTCTCTCAAAAATAAAAAAAAACATTAAAAAAAAAAAAGTGTGGCTTTTGACCGGCTGGGGAGGTCTGTGTCCTCTTTATCATCGACAATGGCTTCTACAAAAGTACTTTTTATTAATGGGATTCTCTGGAGAGCTTGAAGCACATTTGCTGCTTTACTAACTGACATTCTGTTATCCACACGCGCTTTGGTTTTGTGTGTTCTTCCTTTGCGCTCCCCAAATCGGGAGCAGGCTGGAGAATTTTTTAAGAGATGGAAACATACTGTTTTGTAGTCTTCTTGCAACTATCTAATTTGTTTTCCCAAAGCCTAACCAAATTAGATGTGAAGGACAGCCAGCATCCCGGTGCTGTTAGTTATTAGCCATGTGACCTCGAGCAAAACTTGAGCTTTTTGGGCTTTCGTTGTCCTGACGTGAATGAAGAAGGAGGATAATAAAATCCATCTCCAGTAGGTGTTGAAAATACCGCTTGAGTTACCGTGTTTACAGTGGCTCAGTGCTCAGCAAACAGAGGGCAATAAATCGCCTTCTCCCCCAGCGCTGCCCGTGTCAAGAGAGATTCGGCAACAGCTTTTTCCTCATAGCAGCCGGCCAGTCTCATGCGTTGGCGTGGATTAGGGAATGCTTAGTGCATGCCTCTTGCCCATCACCTCATTTAATAATTTTTTTTAAGTTTTTAAAATTTATTTTGAGAGAGAGAGAGCATGCACAAGTGGGGGGAAGAACAGAGAGAGAGAGAGAGAGAGAGAGAGAGAGAGAGAATTCCAAGCAGGCTCCACGCTGTCAGCAAGGAGCCCAACAGGGGTCTCCAACTCACAAACTGCGAGACCCTGGCCCGAGCAGAAATCGAGAGTCTGAAGCTCAACCCACCGAGCCACCCAGGCACACCTCCGTTATCTCATTTAAATCCTTACGTGATCATACCCAGTTTAGTTGCAGAACATGAGGCTCAGAGAAGTTAAGCAATTTGTCCGAGACGGCTCTGCCACAGAGTAGGGGAGCTGATGCGCAAACCCAAATCTCCCAGACAATGAAGCTTGTACCACCAAAAGGCTTCACCAGGGTCTGGCGGAAGTTTAGTTGATCTGCAGTCTGTTGAATTCGACACTGAATAATAAACTGCTAGACCCCCTTCCACCTGGGCTCAGGTTTCCAGCTTCAGAGAGACACTGTGTACCTGCGGTCACGGTTCGTCTGGATCCAGAGAGCCTGCCCAGTTGCGTGACGGACCCCTAAGCGCCTCCACGACAGGACTGGCGACTTCAGAAAGATCCTGGCACCTGCTGGGTGCATACGTGCCGCCCCCTGCATGATGGAGGCAGGTCAGATGACCACTGCACAGTTGAACGAGACTGGGGCAGGAAAAGCCTCATGTGAAAACACACGTCTTTCCAAAATGATGGTGGACCTACACCACTGTAACTGGCAGTGATATTCTTGGCATTCATTGAAAACACCCCAGGCTGCTTGGGTAATTAATTTCATAGGGTTAGTCATTAACAGGCTTCCTGCTTTCCTCCTCTTTTGACAGGCCCAGCTGTGAGATACAGTAAGTTCGACATGTCAGAGGCCAGGCCGCCTCCCCTGCTTGGGCAGCACACGACGCGCGTCCTGAAGGAAGTCCTCAGATATGATGACAAGGCCATTGGGGAGCTGCTCAGCACTGGAGTGGTGACCCAACATGAAGCTCAGTGACGAAAAATGCTTTCTCAAAACTGCAATCTGAATGTACTTCACTAGCAAAAGCAATAGTCTTTCTGGACCCTTCTCCCCAGTTCTGGTGCCTGCCTCTGCAAAGAGATGTTAGAGTAATTCCAGATTTCCTGCCTGGCGCCTCCAGAATGGCTCTGGTATCAATGCATCTCGTGCTTTCTAAATGTACCCCACCTTTTACTCCTTACCATTTCCCCCCACACCACCCAGATAATAGGTTAATTGTGAATTTGTGGGGGTTTTTTGTAAAGATTTTTTTTTCTGGAAAAATACATTCCTCTTTCTAATTACATTAATTGCCCAAACGTTTGCCCCTCCAGCCCACGCAGGTCTGAAAAAGAGCAGATCTCTTGCCGTTCTCTACTTGCACATAAAGTCCTCATTTAAACCTTTGTTAGGAAGTCAAAGCAATAAGCAGAATGACAGTTTCAGTGAATGATTTTAAACAGAATAACTTAATTTTGAGCTCATGAACCCTTTGTTAATCTGTAATTTAAACCATGGACTTTGCTGATGTCCATTATAAAACTGAGCTTCTTTCTCTCCATGGGGGTAAATATTTGCTTTATGTTGTATTTCTCTGATCATTTCATGATATGTGGCAGAAAATCAATTTCCATGAATGCATTTTGGAATGTATGTGTCTATCTGCATTAGGGAGTGAAGAGTGGTTCTTTGATCAGTACCTTATTTTGAGCCAAGTACAAATGTAACAGGTTTTTAAACGAATGTCAAATGACTGTCTAGTATTAAATAATATTTAAATAATGACAAATAGGAGAATGTAATCTGAGCACTCACTGTAGAAGAATACATCATGCCTTAATATTAAGTATTTGGATTTACATATTTAAGTTTTTGTCAGAGAATTTAAAGTATAGAAAACATTTTCTGTCCAGAAGGTAGTAGCTGATTTGTATTATGTTCTGGGATCAGTCATCTCTCAAAGTACCAATCACCAAAGCCCAAGGTATAGACCCAGGGATCAGATGATCACAGCCTGATATGATCACAGTTCACGACTATTAAGCACGCGTATCTTAAAGCCATGTCATGACATCCCAAGTGGTAACTGAAAGTTAAATTACAGATATTCATCTTTCAAACTGTGAGTCCTAGCTAGTTTTCCTTTTGTGTTCTTTTTGTATGGGAGTGATTGGAGCCATTTACGCTGTAAGCCCCAGTAGGTTTCTAGAATCAAGGATTTCAAATAAATAAGGAAATATGTCTTCTCACAGGCGTCGTGGGACTTTTTAGAAGCATGCCTACTAGTTCCTGGGAGAGGAGCGCCCCGCTTTCCTCTTTGTGAACGTTTTATTCTGAGGCTCTCCTGCCTTTCACTATTTAGAATGTCATCATACAACGGTAATTTCATGCCTTTTGCAGTGCTTTCCTCCCTATGGCTAACCCGTAGACACACATTTGGAGACATTCCCTTCAGGCCAGATACAATTAGCAATGAAAATGGTAAAAGACGGGATGACAGAGAATTGGCAAGACCACATCATCTTGAAAAACAGATTCATCATTTCTCCTGCTGGTTCAAGTAGATTCTCTTGAAATGCAAATTGCTTGATTACTGAACAGTAACCCTAACTATCTGGGTAGCCTTGTGTAGGACGATATCGATCGTTCAGACTAGGTCACAAAATGCCTCTAAAACCTTGAAATCCATCGAGACTGTGGTTTTCATCCATAGAAGAGTTACCATGGGAGACAAATGTATCCAGATTTCCACCTACACAATTCAGAATGATCCAAGAGAACTTTGAAACTGTTCGTTACCCAACGGAAAGCATTTACTCTACTGAGTTAGTGAGAGAAATCATTTAGAATATATTTCAAGTTCAGATCAATAATTAGTCCTGAAAGAAGCATTGCGCTGGCTAAAATTTCTAGCAATATGCCCAGATCAAGTTATGCTTTATAAACAAATGTGCTGTTTTAATTATCAGGGCCTATTTTCTTACACATTCCCAAAGCTGAGCACACTACTAAGAGACCATATGCTCAAGTTCAGTGTGTGTCAAGGCCCGCCTTCTGGCAGGTTTGTGTCTGAGGTTGACTTAGAAAATTCTTCGAAACTTCGTGGGTTAATCATTATGGAACTGAGGGTGTGTCCACAAGCAACTAGTCTTCCCTCTCTTGATTTTTTCCTTCAACTTTTTGCTGCCATGGTTTTCTGGTTAATCAAGCATGATATTTTCCAGCATGCACTCTGATATTCAGAATGTTTCCCTAGAAGAAGAGAAATGAATATTGACCAATTGTGTGTGACTAGTCCAGTTACTTGGTATTCCTTTGTCTTCGATTCATCTCCTAGGAATTGGAAGTATAATCTTTTATTTTTTAAGTTTATTTTGTTTATTTTGAGAGAGAGAGAGAGAGAGAGAACAAGTGAGGGAGGGACAGAGAGGGAGAGAGAGAACCCCAAGCAGTCTCCACACTGCCAGCACAGAGCTTGATGCAGGGTTTGAGATCATGACCTGAGCAAAAGTTGGATGCTTAACCAACTGAGACACCCAGGTTCCCCATGGAAGTACAATCTTGATTTAAAAAAACACAGGAGGGGGGCGCCTGGGTGGCTCAGTCGGTTGGGCGTCCGACTTTGGCTCAGGTCATGATCTCGGTTTATGGGTTCGAGCCCCGCGTCAGGCTCTGTGCCGACAACTCCGAGCCTGGAGCCTGCTTCGGATTCTGTGTCTCCCTCTCTCTCTGCCCCTCCCCCACTCACACTCTGTCTCTTTCTCTCCTTCAAAGATAAATAAACATTTAAAAAAACACACACAGGCGGTCTCATATAGGCTATTTCATATGAGGTCACTAGGCCACCTAACCCCGATAGCCCCACAATGGAGGGCTTTTGCATGAAGACTTCATGACCCCTACTTTCAGCCTTTCTCAGGGAAATTCACCCCACTCATGTCTCACCTAAATATGATATTTCAACATGGACTCTTTCATCCCATGACAGTAGCACGTTGTCTACTTGAAAAGCTTTGTCGATTTGAGTCTGGCTTGCCATTCTCCCACATAGCTCAATTTTGCCTTCGTCCATAGGACTTATTCTCCAAATAGTGGGCTTAAAGGCTCTGGGAAAGAATGCCAGCCCAGAGCTGAACAGACTGTCCAGATTTTCTGTCTCTCCTCTGTTCTCCATGAATTCTCAACCAGCAAAGGAAATGAGTGGGAAAAACATCCCCTGACCCTGGGCTCTTCATTTTCAAACTCGTTCCCAAGATTATGAGATTCTTCTTGCACTTGCCTCTATTTATGGGAGACTCTCTGCTGTACCAAGCTCTTACAATTGATGAGATTCTTCAGATGCAGTGGGCCTAAAGAAAACAGGGTTGTTCACCTGGAACATTGTAGTATCAATGATCCTTACGAAGCCAGAATATCAAGCTCCCTTCTTTTCCTTCTCGATTTTGTGGTACCAGGACTGGCACATTCATCATTTGATAAGGAAGATGAAAAGGTTAAAAAGATAAAAGGGTACACACTTCTATTGCCAACAGCAGTTAGGGAAAATAAAAAAATATATCACCAAGGCTCTCATACTGGTGTGTAGAAGTTTCCTCAGACATCAGGATAAAATTGTATTTCTTACAATTCTACCAGGGTTGAAGGTTTTATAAATTGCTACTCTTACAAGATTCTTAGTTTCTGTATATAGACATACCAAGCTATCTTCTGAGTGCAAATGGCCCTGCTCTTTTAAACTAGCTATAAGCAGGGCACGGGTATGTGGTGAGATTAGTGGTGATTAAGCAACTCCAAGACATGTTTCCCCTGACACCCATTCAAAAACAAGTCTTCTAGTATCACTCTGGTATTACAGACAAACAAATGTGAACATTTTGCACACATAAATTTATTTCACACACTAGAGGGGGGAAACACACAAAAAAGGAGAGTTTGGAAAAAACAAAAGGTGACATACGTCAATTTGATTAGCAGGAAAGGAAAAGAGAAAGCATGCCCAGGTCAGACAGACCCAAGGTTGCATTTTTTCCGGAGAGTCTGGTGAACCCATGGCAGTATGAACCCAGCTTGAGGTGTAGATGCCAAGAGGGAAGGACAAGCACTAGAAGGAGCTCAAACACTGCAGGAAATAGATTTCACCCACCTCATATTCTTTCTTGAGAAATACCTTTATTTCCCTATTCCTTAAGACCATAACATTAAAATGCTTGTCCAATCTTCGGTCTCTCGGCAATATTTTCATTTCATTTTATTTTATTTTATTTTATTTTATTTTATTTTATTTTATTTCATTTTATTTTATTTTTTGTTTTGTTTTTCAGAGAGAGAGAGAGAGAGAGAGAGCAAACACAAAAATGAGGGAGAGGGGCTGAGAGAGAGAATCAAGCAGGGTCCACACTCAGCACAGAGCCTGATGCAGGCCTTGATCCATGACTCTGGGATCATGACCTGAGCTGAAATCAAATGTTGGACACTCAACTGACTGAACCACCCAGGCACCCCATATTTTACAATACTCTTAATAAAAGGCTATGGTAGGCAGAATAATGGCCCACCAAAGATGCCTATGTCCTAATGCCCAGAACCTACTAATATGCCACTGTACTTTGCAAGAGGGCATAAAGATTGCTTATCAGCTGACCTTAAAATGGGGAGCTTATCCTAGATTATCCTGGCAGTCCCTGTGTAATCACAGGGGTCCTTCCAATGTGGAAGAGTCAATGTCAGAGAGATGTGATGTAAGAAAGACTTTACCAATTGTTATTTTGAAATGGAAATAAATGAAGGAATGTGGGCATTTTCTAGAAGATGAAAAAGGCAAGAAAAGTGGACTTTCCCTTTGAGCCTCCAGAAGGACCACAGCTCTACCTGATTTCTTAGCCCAGTGAGACCTATTTTGGACTCATTTGTGGTCTCCAGAACCACAAGGCAACATATCTGTATTATTTGAAGACACTAAACGTGTGATATTTTTTACAGCACCAGGAGTAAACTGA